GATTTGAATAAAAACTCAGGTGAAGCACTTTGATTTCTACGCCATGCTCTACAAAACAAGCCCAAGTTGCCTATAGTTATCGTAATGATATGGAGGATTTCCTCGCATCAACACGCTAATCAAAGCAAAATTATTTATTCATACAACGAGCACATCTCATAATGTCATCTCACCTTACATACAAAGCTATAAGGAATGGCCGGGAGGAGAGAGGCCACCGCGCCGCGAGATTGACGGTCGCTCGAGTAGAACCAATTGGCACAGTCAGTCGCGCACCTGTAGCCGTGCTGGACCATGCCAGAGCCCATTCATGCTTCGGGCGAGCGAGGCACGCCACACTTGACCTTTCCCAGATAATGTATCTAATAAATCCGCCCAGAACTTCTGTATTGACTGATTGCCGACCGTGGAGCGGCGGCCGGCCGGCTGGCCTGTTGCGCCCGCACTGAGAACTGTGTCTGTCAGCGTCCCCACTGAAAGATCCCGGTGTAGCTGGCTGATAAGGCCCACAGACGATATTTGGCCATGCTCTGCGTCTAGCAGACCCTGCTTCAGCCGCTGACATATCTGATCCAGAGTCGAGCGCTGTGACCACTGACCAAACACATATCATGTCAGACTGGAGCTACACTTGACAAGTGTCGGTCATCATATATTTTTCAAACTCAAAATATTTTAACCCTAGAACGCCTAGGGGGGGGGGGGGGGGGTTGTATCACCCCCCCCCCTGAGGTTTTTTCGAAGTGCACGCTAAACGGCTTGTCGTAGCGGGCTGAAATTTTCAATACCCTCTGGGGCAACCTTTGCGCATCTTTTGCCGAAAAAAAATTGATCGGGTCATGTCAGGTCACGGAGTTATGACGTCATAAGAGGTACAGCCTCCGGCCGACAGTTACCAAACGTGTGCGCCGAATCCCTAGGTTTTCTGCCGGTGATACCCACATTGTTTGATGGATCATGATGAAACTTCCCATGCATGTTGGGGCAAGCATTGGCTATCATGTGGTGCAAGAAAATTGACCGGGTCAGGTCAGGTCACGGAGTTATGACGTCACAAGAGGAACAGCGTCCGGTACTATTTTTGAAAAGCGCCCGAACCACTATTTTGCTAATTCTTGTCACCTCAATGGGAATATGCAGCAATATTAGCTTCTATAGGGAGCAAATGAACCTCCCAAATCCAAAAATACAATCAGATTTCAAAAATTTAAATTTTGATTTTTCGAATTTCTGCCGCCGACTGTGACCTTGCCGACTTCCGGCGCTTCCAACGCGCCATTTTTAGAGCTAGGGAAACGAAATACATACCAAACGATAGAGAATTGATCAAGGAACACGATAGTGAAGGTTTCAAGTCGATATCTCCCACCGTTTTGCCGCAATCGCCGCCGAAAGTTGAAAAAAGTCTATTTTTCCGAAAATTTGACCTTTGACCGGTCAAAAGTGGGTCAAATGTTGACCTAGGACCAAAAAATATACCACCAATCGCGAGATCTCGTTGAGAGCAATCCGTTGGTTTTTTCCTCTAAGCTCTACGACCTTCCGTTTCGAAACGCCAGGGGGGGTCGTAACAACCCCCCCCCTGGTCGTTCGTGTTATGAGAAATGGCCTGGTCGTGCGAGGGTTAAAATTTGAATTCAAACAAAACAAAAAGACGCTAATACTTTTATCAATGATACGCAAACATTTCTTACGCCCAGATGGATAAGCTCAGATAGAAAACAAATTTAGCTCAGGTAGAAAGCAGGCTGACAGTCGCCTTCCATTAGCTCCGAGCTACCTGCCGCCTCCGTCACTCTCCGCGCCTTCCCATCTCACATGACACGTGGCGCCGACTCGGCAATATTCCCAGAGACTGGACAGCGAGTGCATCAGCGACTGTCCGTGACCGCTGCTATGGCAACGAGCACCGGCCGCAGCAACAGTCGAGCGCCTGATTTAGCGACTCATCGGACACCGACAGGCCAGAGCTCTTTCAGGTGTCCCGTTAGACCGGCTAGGTCAGATGTTACTGCGGGCAGCAGCTCACAGACGGACATCCAGTCCGAACGGTATACCGACGCGGTAAATGGCATGGTGTCAACTGATGCTTCACCGAGGCCGGTGGAGGAGAGTGGGTAGGATGTAGGAGAGAAATGGGAGAGAGAGAGAGAGAGAGAGAGAGAGAGAGAGAGAGAGGGGGGAGGAGAGAGAGAAAAGAGTGAGATAGGGGGAGAAGAGAGTGAAGGAAGCAGAGGGAGAGAGGGGAGAGAGAGAAAAGAGTGAGATAGGGGGAGAAGAGAGTGAAGGAAGCAGAGGGAGAGAGGGGAGAGAGAGAACAGGTAAAAGTAAATAAGAGAACAGGCTGACTGTGGCTATTGGGATATGTTCATCAAAGTTTGGGACAAGCTAACTACACAAAAAAAAAATCATAAGGTCACAAGATTCAGTAAGACGTCATCTCACATAATCCCACATTGGTTGGATATTGGAACGAACGGGCCGACAGCTGTGTTGAGAAGTGCACTCAGCTCACCATTTAGATGTCACCCAAGGCTTGTGACTCGTCATATTGGCACTGACATGACGTCTTCGCTAATTTTCGATAGATGCCAAACATCAAAGCTACTCGCATTGTAAAAGCCTGGTGCAGTTTGTCCGAGGATTCCATATTTCTATAGTGTGTCTTTGTGCATATGTTGATTTGCTGAATTTCAAACAATCAGAGAACTAGAATTAAGAATAACGAATGAATATGGTCACTAGCGTTTCCTGATGGCAGTTTGGTTGACACTTGGGTTCATGGGAGCTGTGATGGAACTTGAAAGTTTTTGTCAGGACAGGTTATAGGGACTATCCCACCTTCTAAAATGTTGTTAAAACCAGTTAAATTGTGCCCGACTTTATAGATTGGATGACCAGGAACACGGTTCTGGCATTTATTTTTCATTAAACATCTTAGGCTTCCCATATTCCAAACACAAACTTTCAAATATGTGACGTCACAGCCCAAAATTACCTCCTTTCCCAGGCCACATTACTGTCATAAAGCTGATTCTTTTTACTCTGTATAGGCACCACAACAAAGTTCAGACCAAGTTTTAAGCGATTTTTCAACGAACAAACCCATTTAAATCAGAATGACTAAACGAGGTGACGTCACACTAACGGTCGCTCCATGTTGAAGATAGGGCCTTGCACAAGGCCCATTTTCAAATGAAGGGAACGAATTTCTTCAACACCAAGAGGCCGCGGGGGTTGCAACCTAGATAGATAGTGGTTTCTGAACCTCGCCGCAAACTTGGCTATCTCAACTCAAACCCAATGTTAAAGGTGGGATAGTCCCTTTAAAGGAGCCAAATCTGTCTATTTGTACGACTATTATTCTTCCCTAAAATCACCGTAGATCAAATACTTCGAAGTTCGAACCTTTAAAGTGCATAATGCATATGCTTTTTTACTTCATTTCGTCTTATGCTATGTAGTTTTTACTCCGTCATGTCCCTCCTGATACCTAGATCGGGCCTGCACGCACACTGTTCATAAATTCTTCGAAACTTGCTCTTCACTTTATCACCCACACCCAGCATCCATCCGTGTCGGTGCCAGATCATATTCTATGTACCATGCACTGCAACAACGTATCGGTTAAGCAGTCTGAATTCAACGCAATTTGTCAAACATTAACAAAACATGCATAGCTAAAGCCGTAAATATTGCGACTGCTTGCACGACATATTCATTTTGGATGACATCAAAGGCTGCCTCACAATAATGTCAGTTCAATTATATGGATAAATTATTAGTTTGCAATATAAAACATATTTCAAACATGTTTAATAGCCGTTTTCACGACGGCCATCTGGTACACATTTGGTGCACATCTGGTACAGATTAGGTGCAGATTTGGTCAAATCAGGTTCAGTGTGTCTCTTAGCAGCTATCAGCTAGGGTTGCACTAATTGCTTATATGCCTGCTTTGTCATATTATCAGAGAGCATCATTGATTAAAACACTGAAATAAATTCATAAAATGAGGATATTTGTTGTAAAAGAAATTAGGTGCAGATTTGGTCAAATCAGGTGCATTCGCCGGATAGCCCGTCGTGGAAACGGCTAATATCTCTTTACCAATGAAATACATGTGATACAATACAAATATCTGCATAAAGTGTTACACCATTACGTAATGCATTGAGCTCCACCCTATTGCAAGTTGCAACCCTTTTATGGTCACTGGCATTCTATCGGGAACGTTCGCGCCATGCACCTTCCACTGTTTACCTTCCAATCGAATTTTAGCCACATTCAATCACAATTGTTGCTGTGTGTGGCGTTAAAGTGTGTTTGGTGCAGGGTGTACTGTGGCGCAGAAAGAGTTTCACCGGCAGCCCGATACCGGCTCTCACTAGCCTCTCACCAGCAGCCGCCTGTTACCAGTTCTCACTAGCGGCCTGTCACCACCTGTCACAAGCAGCTATTGTTGCCTGTTACCGGCTGCACTTCCCCGCCTCACTGGGAGCTGTCACCAACCTTCCCCATCTGTCTCTCACCGACATTCCCCATCGGTCTCTCACCACCTCCCAGTGGCCTCTCATCGCCTCCCAGTGGCCTTTCATCGTCTCTCACCAGCAGTGTATTACAGCTTCCCATCAGACCCCACCACCGTCTCTTACGCTTCTCAACAAGCATCACTGGCAGCCCCTTAGCGCCCCTAACCAGGAGCCCTCTCATCGCCTCCCCAGGAGCTTTTCACCGCCTGACAGTGGCCTCTCACCGCCTCTCACCAGCAACGAGTCACTGTCGCTCACACCTCTCAACACCGAACACAGGCAGCCATTTAGGACTCCTCGCCAGAGGCCCCTTCGCGCTTCCCCAGAGGATCCCTCACACCTTCCGAATAGCCCCTCATCGTCGACCAAGCACACTCTCACCACCCTCACCAACGGTGTCTCACCGTTTCTCACCATCTCCCCAGCAGCCTCTCTCCCCGTCCCCGCGGGTCTCTCACCGCCGCTCACCTGGTGGCAGTGTGGCCATCAGAGCGATCCAGAGCAGGCTGGCGCGACAGCCGGCCGAGGAGGCGGTCATGGTGGCACGGCACCACCTCAATATCGGCTCTGGTCAGCGCATTCCGAGCGAGCTCGGCCCGTGACGGCGGACGGCGGCGGCGGCGCGACTGGCGGCGGTCGTCGCTGCCGACGGCGGGCCACCTCGCGCGCGCAGCCACTCAATAACCGGTGAGACGGCGGCCAGGTATCCGTCGGCGCGCCGCCGCCGCCGCTGCTGCCCTCGGCACGCCCGGACCTGTTGCCCGCCGTCCGTCCGTGTGGATACAGCGGCGAATCAGCGCACCGATTGGGACTGGCCAAAGCCAGCTTCTGGCTGACACGCCGTGTGCAGCGGGCTAATACTTACATATTACGTGGGTTACCACAGATACGATGCGTCGGTGCTGCCGAAGCAACCGCCACTGTAAGCAACGGTTAGGTACGCGTGCTCGCCTGATTCGGGTACAAGCAAGATAAATCATTTCAACAATCCACATGGTGTGAGCAGCGATTCAGTCGGTGTGGCGCACTTTTGTAAGTCACATATTTTCTCCGCGAACGTGATTGTGTCGCGCCGACGGACTCTCTGAGCCTCGGGTGTCCGGGCGATGCAATATGCATGCGTGGCTCTGGCGGGCGCGCACGGGCACAACAACGACATCCGGCCGGCATTAGCCCGTAAATCATCGCCGACAACAAGCCACGGCCAGTCGTGCTGCAGGTCGATGTTGTGGCCGGAGCGTGACTCTGTAACAGCCCGAGGCTTCTGATACAATACCCCAATAGCTATTAGCTGTATAGGCACACTGCTCTTCGCACAGATGAGAAGTTTTTGTTATTGTTAAGTTAGTGATATTGGATGCGTTTTCTTACAATTATGTTACAATTATATAATACCTTATATACGTTTATTATACGCTTCTAGCCACCTTAAGAGCTCTGTCTTATTTTGGTCCATGCCTTTCATCACATTTTCTCGTCATCTTTTCAAAATGACCTCTCAAGGTCAAATTGTATGTATTTCATTCGATGCGCCTCGACGAGGGGAACACGATACTGGCTAAAGACACGTCGTCCGTTTTTCATGCGTTTTTCAGTCAAAAGTTATTGCCGAAAAACATTTTTCGTAAAGACAGATATTTTTTTCGTTTTGCCATCTGGAGGCTAAACCGTTGGTCTTGCATAGGTCAAATCTGAGAAAAGGAGAAAAGTTATTGAATGCGCTTTCTCGCGGCGCAGTAGCTATATCGGTTCCCGAGTTACGCACCGGTTCGTAGAAAAATGTTGAAAGTGAAACAAACAAAACTTGACCTTTAATGACCTCTGATGACTTGACCATTGACCTTACCTTCAAATGACCGGATAATTTCTTTAATACTTTTGATGCTCTTTCGAATGCCGCTAACCGCATGTCGCTATAGGTGGCCCAGGAGCCGAGATAGACGGGGGGGGGAGTGAAAATGCCCCTCCACCAGCACGACATGTAAAACTCAGACAACCTGGTGCGGGTTAAATTTCTAGGTACCTGCATCACTAGGGGCTAGAAGTCGATGATTTAGCAAGAGTTCACAACTGCGTGGTAAAATGGACCACCATCTGCGAAGGACGATCGCAGATGAGCTAAGACGTCGCAGAGGTCTTACCCCCAAAATTTTGTTAACAACATGAAATATTTTTTTTATAAATTTAGTCCGAACCTTTTGATGGGAAGGATTCACAAGGACAGAGCCACCGCTAAGCGAAGCTTGTTGCGATGACCCTGCCCTCTACCCTCCGATCGCGCTAAGTGAGGTGCGCGGACGGTTCGACACTGCTGTCGGACAGCAAGGCTAACGCGATTGGCGTATACCAAGGCGGCGCCCTGAGTTGTCTCATGTACATGCTGTACTCAAACGATCTGTGTCTGTGTGTTCCCGATGACGTCACGGTAGTCCAGTATGCTGATGACACCCAGCTGATGGTTACTGGCAAGAAGAGCGACTTGAATCTGTTGACCGCGCGTATGGAGGATGCACTGGGTCGAATGTATCAGTGGTTCTGCCACAATGGAATGAGACTTAATGCTGCGAAAACACAGATGCTTGTGATCGGTACCCCAGCGATGCTTCGCAATTTGCCGCCTGTCACGCTGACTTTCTGCTCTACCACCATTACAGAGTCAGAAACTGTTAAAAATCTAGGAGTGACGATCGACCGTCACCTCAGCTTTGTGTCCCATGTAGACGGTGTGGCGCGGAAATGTACCGGGATGCTGACAGCGCTACTGCACGCTCGTCACGTTATACCGCGGTCAGCACTGAAGCCGATAGTTGAAGCCCTGGTTGTATCTGTGCTGCGGTACTGTCTGTCGGTGTACGGCTCGTGTGGTGAGGTGCAGTTAGGACGGCTGCAAAAAGTTATAAACTTTTGTGCACGCGTTGTGTCCGGTCGGCGACGACGTGATAGCGTGGCGGCTGTCATCAAGCAGCTGAAGTGGTTGACTGCCAAGGATTTGGTAACATACCACACAGTGAGTGCTGTCGAGCGTATCTTTGTGTCGGAGCAGCCGGAGTACCTCAAAGGTACGCTGGGGCAGCGGGCTAGCCAGCGGCACCGGCACAACACTAGGCAGGCCAGCTACCTCACCCTCCCCTTCATTCGAACGGAGTCGGGAAGACGTAGATTGTGCTACCGAGGTGTGACTCGTATGAACGAACTTGGAGTAGAACCAGGGACATTGTCGTACCGGGCGAACATCCGAAAGGTGCTGCTGTCTAAGCAACAGACATGAGCAATAGCATGTATGGGTGCGTGTGTGGGAATTATGCGTGCTGCACACTGTTCCTCGTTTTGTATCACACTATCATGACGTGGACATATGAAAAGCCTCACTATTGAGAGGACCTTGTCTGAATATATCTGTAATCTGTAATCTATTCCGATTCTATGGCAGAATTTAGAATCCAAAGTTTAACGTGCGCACAAATCCGCGCACGGACGGTCCCCTCGCTGACTTCGCCTGGCTGCGGCCTGCCACCAACCGCAACCATACCTGTCAGGAGGCCCATACATGTCGAGCGCCCGTCGCGCTTCGAACCCGGACTGTGATAACCGGGAACGCGTGCTCTCACCACGCGGAGTCCAACGCTCTAACCAACTGAGCTACGGGACCGGCTAAAAAAGATGCTTAAAAGCCCAGCCTTGTGAAACCTTGCTTGTCCTAAAACGTGATTCTAACAACATTTCTTCACAGCAAAGCTCAAATAAAAATTACTTATGACAAAATTCACCTCAATTTAATCATTCTTAGGCCTGCTAAATTAAATCAGTGTGACGAAAAAAAACATTTTTCTCAATAGTTAAAAATCTTTACGTCCTAGCCTTATGAGCCGAAGAGGGCCATCGGTGCGAAGGAAAACAAATGTAGGGGAGAGTGGGGCAAAGCGGCCACCCTAACGCTTCTCACGATGCCAGCGCTTGATTTGTAAACTTGGAAAGATTCTTTCTATACCAATGTGATCCCTATTAAGTTGCCTTTTATTTCAACTGCGTTTTATTTCCAAAGGCGTTCACATATGGAAGATATTGACAAAACTTTAAACCTATGCATATCGGCCACTTTGCCCCATACCCTGGGGCAAAGCGGCCACCGGCGTCTTCTCTAGTCCCGATATGAGAAACAAAATAGTTGCCTCATGTACGACTAGGGTATTTGATGGTGACAAGGTTTAAGCGAGGATGGATGCTTGATTTGTCAGCATCCCACCTGTAGGTAAACAAAGAAAGGATTTTCATGAAAAAACATTCAATTGCATTATTTGGTAACTCATGCAACTGAAAAGTGGCCAAGACGAATGCATGACGACACATTTGAATATAAATAATGTTTTTTATCCAGATGGAAACAACTTATGGCCAATTGGGGGGTGGCCACTTTGCCCCGGCCACTTTGCCCCGCGCATAGCGTCCGGGACAAAAATATTTCAGCTCAGCTATTAGTGGGGTAAAAAAACATCAAAATTGGTAGAATACATGTACGATAACCATGCAACGCATGGACAAGAAAGCTTATAAAAATTCCAAACGGTTATGGAATAACATAACATTCAAAAATTGTAAACATAGTTGGTAATCTGGCAAGAAATGCTTTTCCGTGTTTCACAGAACAATGGTGATGGGCCTGAAACCCCGGTCTGGCTCATTCGAACGACCGTGAAGAGAAGTATAATTGGAAACCATAAATTGGAACTGACGCCAGCTATGAAGGGCTAAAACGATGGGTGGCCGCTTTGCCCCGGGTGGCCGCTTTGCCCCACTCTCCCCTACAAAAGTATTTAGTGCGTAGTGCAGCATATACCAGCAGCGGTCCAGCCGGAAAGACTGGTGGTCCCTTTTGCCCCAGGTCTTACCCCATGTGCCCCTTCCAGTATAGGAAGAATATAGGTATTATGTGTTGTGATCCCGTATGTGATTGAGTAATGAGTTCAGATAGCTATTCGTTGGTTTGCTGGGTTATAAACGGCATCCAAAGACACATAGGCTAGGCCAGAGAAATTTATTATCAAAATGGTGGTTAAGTTACTGTTAATGCTCCCAAACTGAGCCAGTTCTCAACGCGACGGAGGGATGCTCGGAAAACTGTGTCCAGGAACGCATGCAGCGTCATCTATAGTATACAGCCCTGCTGGTCATTCCTCTTTCAGCTCGTAGAGGACGCTGCCATCACTGTCTGAAAAGGTTTCAGATAAAACCAAATTATTAACACGCATTTCTGCGGCCTTCAGGTTTCCCCTCCACTAGACAGTAATGTTGTAGGTGTTTATAGTTCTGATAGCGCCTTCCATTAATTCTTCATGTCTACGGAAGGTCATAAGAAGAGAAAATGACTCAGGTGTCTGGCACTTTCGCAACCTTCTGCACAACTTTTAAAAGTTATAGGTACCGTCATTAGCCTTTCATTAGATAGTAAAAAAAAAACAAGAATCCGTTAGATAAAAATATTCTAAGAAAACTGATGCATTGCAAGAAAACTTCCACTAATTATGTGGACCCCGGCATAAGTCGAATATCTTCTGCGTCAAAGTTAATTCACTATTAGGAGTCAGGATAGAGCATAACCGTCACGTCACGTCACATGCCACC